TTGCTTCCAAACGCAATTAACATTGAAAGATATTTTGAATGCAGTTCTGAAGAGGCCCAAGTCAGCGGGACACCAAAATCCTAACTGGTACAAAGCTCCTCATGAATCAGGGAAACCTTTCTTTTTAGATTTTAGGTAGTCTCCTATTTTAATAGAAAAAAGTCTTTAAAAAAGTAGATACTAAATAGCAAAAAAAAAAAAACATTGCTAGCAGTATGGTACAACATATGAATAGTTCCTTAGACTAACCTGGACAGGGCTGACTGTTACATGGTTCTGTTTCCCTGCTTTCCCCTTTGCATGCTTCCCCGCCATGTGCAGGAGCAGGGTTGGTGCAGGTACGAGTTCTCGAYTTTGTTCCGCCGCCACAGGATGTAGTACACTCTGACCAGTCAGTGAAGTCACTCCATCCGCCATCAACTACATAAAAGGGAAATCACAAATTATGTAGTGCAAACTTTTTTTAAAATCTCATCTCAAATCATGTATATACTGAATCAGATTTACATCAAATACAACCATAGACCAAATGCGAAACCCACCCCAATGTGAGACCCAACCCGCGAACGAAGCGACCCGGCACGATCCGCGACTTTAAATCACGCCAGATACCTCCGTCCACAAGCCAAGCCCCACACCAGCGTGAGTCCCGCCTCTGGTCCATGACTCACAAATTATTCGGATTACAAGTACATGATTATATGTATATATTTAGTTACTATTTTGTAGTGCAAACTTATATTAACTGCCGAAATTACTGCACGGTCCAATTGATCTACGTAATGATGTAATATGCTAGACTGCACATCATAGTCAGTTCTCAGTTCTTTACATTGCAAAAAAATAAATAAAGAGCGATAAAGTATCTAAAAAGATACAGACCTCCGCAGGGCTGACTGTTGCAAGCTTCTGTTTCCTTGGCATCTCCTTCACATTCTTTCCCGCCGTTAGCTGGAGCAGGGTTGGTGCAGGTACGGGTCCTTTCCTTTGTTCCACCTCCGCAGGCTTTACTGCATTTGGACCAATCAGAGAAGTCGCTCCAGCCTCCATCGACTTTAGTTACAA